CAGTTCTGTTTCACAACTCACCAGAGACAAAAGGACAAATGGACACGAAACTTTGTAATTTCACATCTGCAATGGAACACTTCGGGGTTGCGTTTGCCAGTTCAGAGAACATGGCCAGTACAGGGAACACACACAGTGCGTGGAGCTTGTATCACCTAGGTCGGACCAACAACAAGCTAGGCAACTACAGACAAGCAAAGACGTTTTTTGAACGGGCTTTGGCCATGTTCAGACAAATACATGGACAGAAAGCAGCAGGCTTGGGTGTTCTTAACTCACTCGCTGGCCTTGGGATTTCACTGGCTTACCTTGGGGACGACAGAAACGCGATGTCCTTGTATGAAGAGGTATCGGAAATGATTGACTATACACAATTGGAAGACAATGATAGAAAAACCGCTATATTATTGGTACTGAACAGCCTAAGCCAGGTATTGGCCCACTTAGGTCATCATAAACAAGCTATCAATGTCTTAGACAGGGCGCTAAGGGTGAACAGACAGGGACAAGATGCGTTTACGGCTTTGCTTCTAGATAACCTGGGAGCAGCATGGGGTAACTTGGGAGATAAAAAGAAAGCTATCCCACGTTTAGAAGAGGCGTTTAAGATGAGGAAGCTGCTATACGGCCATGATACAGCACATCCTGACGTCATATCCTCACTCGACACCCTGGGCCATGCATGGAGGAGCGCAGGCCATTCAAGGAAAGCAGTCAGTTTTTACGAACAGGCACTTCACATGGAGCAAATCATCTATGGGCTCGACAATGCACACCCAGCCATTGCCAGAACAATGAATGATCTTGGCAAATGTTGGCACGATTTAGGTGATTTCCGGAAGGCCATTGAGTTCCACGAGCAAGCTCTAGACATACAGAAACGGGTGCTCGGTAAGGCCCACTACAACATCGTATCTTCACTCAACAACCTTGGCGAAACGTGGAGAGCATTGTGTGTTTACAAGAAGTCTCTTCATTTCCACCAACAAGCTCATGACATGGTGCAAGGTTTATATGGACATGATGCGGCAAACCCGGACATTGCGAGGGCACTTCATTACCTAGGCATAGTATGGAACGAGATGGGCGCCTACTGGAGAGCGATCAACTTTCATAGACAGGCTCTCTACATGTGGAAGCGCATATTTGGCCCGGACAAGGAACATCTAAATATCGTAAATTCAGTTCACAACCTTGCCATAGCTCTGAAAGACATCGGTGATTATAGGAAAGCAATCAGATTTCACGAACATGTCCTGAATATGCAGAAACGAATACATGGAAAAGATGTACCACACCCAGATATTGCAAAGGCCTACACGAGTCTTGGAAAAACTTTGGCAATGGTAGGAAATCACAAGAAAGCCATCAGTTTTCATGAACAAGCTTTGAGTATATTGAGAAGAGTCTATGGACATGACGAGGCACATCCGGATATCGCGTTGTCACTCAGTAACCTAGGTAGCGTTTGGCGTGTTATGGGGGATTCTCTTAAAGCAGTCATATACCACGACAAGGCATTTTAAATGAGCGTGCGTGTTTACGGGAAAAACACTCCGCATTTGGATATTGTGACGTCGCTCTATAACCTCGGCGGGGTTTGGAGTAACTTAGATGTTCACACGAAAGCAATCGACTGTTACAAGGACGCGTTGGCTATGGCTAAGGACATCCTCGGTCACAGCACGGCACATCGGACTATTGCAGCAATACTTGGACAACTTGGTGCTGCTTGGAGCCAAAAGGGTGACGCTAGAAAAGCACTGCACTTTCTTGAACAGGCCTACAAGATGGAAAGACGTATTTATGGAAGGCACGCGGTTCACGCTGACATTGCTGGCATACTATTTAAAATGGGCCTTGCTTGGCATAAGTTAGGCGATAACTGGAGGGCAATGATCCTCCTTCAGAGCGGACTGACAATGATGACTGATGTCTATGGACGCGATGCAGCACATCCGCGCATTGCCACCGCCCTGAGTAAAGTCTGGTTTGACCTGGGGGACTATGACAAAGCGTTTCAACTTGCTGTGCAGGCAAATGCGATGAAGGAACAAATGAATGAAGATTAGTTGAGGTCCTGTGGTTAGAAAACCTGCCTTTAGATCTTGGGGTTCGAATTCGAAAAAAATATTAGCATGTATAAAGTATTTTATACATGATTCTAGAGAATGATTTTGGAAAAAATTCTCCAGGCAACATCCCCATGCAGCAGTCTCAGGCTGAGTCAGAGACCGATGAGGCGACAACCGCCAACCCTGCGTACGGCTGCCGAGTAGGTAAAACATTGACCAGTCCCAGTTGAGTTGTAGGGACATTTTGGTGACTTACTCTGTGATTTTCGGTGATGGTCGCATTTCAAGTGGAGTTTTACGTTACTATATTCTTGTTTTTATTCTAACAATTCATGACAACACATGGCGACGGCACATTCAAGTTTTTTCAACTTATTTTATGCCGCCATCAACGCAGACAACAAATGCAGGACAGGACAGTACTCATTCACTTGAGTTAAGTGAGAAAAGTCGTGTAAAGTGCCTTTCCCAAGGACACAAGATCAGTGGCATGTCAGGACTCGAACCCGGGACCGAGTCGAGCACTCTGTCGTTACGCCACATGACCCCACCCTTACCTGTTTGCATCTCCTGAGGAAGCCGAGCAGGTCTCCGTGCTGCATGTACTCCACCACCATGTATATGGGCTGCTCCAGCGTGCAGCAGCCGTACAGCTTTAGGATGTTCGGGTGGGAACCAACCTCCACCATGTGCTCAATCTCCTCCAGGAAATCAGCTTTCTGCTGTGAGGTGGCATTATCTGAGAGAAAGAACATTTAGTGTCAATATTCCGTCATTAACAACGTTTATGTGTACATCAACTAAATTGAAATTAAATATAAAAAGAACAATTTAGCGTCTAGCGTTTTGAAAGTCGTGTTAGATTGTTAATTAAAGTGAATCATGGCTAAAGCGTTTTCGGACATCTAAAGATCTAAGTGTATAGCTCAGTAAAGAAAATATCAAAAGCATGGAATCCGATAAGAACTTGCCGATGACACTTAAAACGTCGCCTATACTTGAGCTACGGTCTGTTAATCACAAATGCAAGTCAAAGACATCAACGTTACATGACTGTCAGTATCCGCTTTTTATTGGTCTGGAAAGAGAGGAAAACGCTCACTAATAACGACAAGTATATGACTAGTGAGTGGATAGATCTACTCGGTACGTACTAACATTAGGACAACTGGTCATCATCCACAGCACGAAAACAGACATTTAAGCAAACATTCCGCAATATGTTAAGAAGTAATAAAAGGTGGGAAAGTATTTCAGTTGACTTTGTAAAGGCCACTGAAAGGCAAAGTCCGCCTTTCCGTCACCTTTCAATGCGCTTGAATACGACGTAAATATATTTCATACATATAAATATATCAAAGAATGTTTAGACCTTAGAACAAGTAGTATTAGTTGACTCATCTATTGTTTTATACGTAGGTTAATTTCGTTGTACCCATGTAATTGTCTGTATACCTACATGTACTCTTAGACCTTACGAAAGTTGCTGTACTTTTTGTTGTGTCAATAAAGTTCATTATCTTTGCGCTTCCTTTGGAAATCCGTAAGTATTATTTACATTTTTGTGGCCATGTTTCTGTCCACGCATAGGAATTACACGATACAATCCCTGCTAACAGCCGGGCAGGCTGCTAAACTGACCTTTGAGACGCTTGATGGCGACTACACCAGGTAGTCTTGTACTCCCCGTGTTCTCTGTGACTCTTGCCTTGTACACCTTCCCAAACGCGCCGCTGCCGATCGCCTTTGTGTCGATGTTTAAGATCGCTCGGCTGATCTCCCAGTCCGAAAATTTCGACTTGGCCGTGATGTGAAGGTCATCTTTGATGAAACTCTCTACAGTATATGGACTTCGTGTTTGAGCTGTGAGAAGAGAAACGTAAACACGTCGTTATGAAGTATTAAACTTATCATTCAGCTAATTATAACCAAAAGTGGTTCAATGTTCTATCCAACACGAGTAAATTGGGACTAACCCCGAATTTTTGACCGACTCCATCAGCCTTCTTCACGGAAATGGTGGTGGAGATGGTCGAAACTTTGGGGTAAGTCCCAGTTTACCCGTGGTGGATAGAACGTTTAACCCCTTTTGGTCATAATGAAGTTTACCAACACAGATGAACGTTCATGCTAATATTCATCTATTTGTTTGACTGGCATACATGTCCTATCGCAGGGAAGAAGCTTAGTGCTCATTGTCATCTGAGTCAAGTGCCTTTTCCAAGGTCACGGATCGTGGCTTCTTAAGTGTGGGCCATGTTCTTATTACGTTCACTCGTATTACGTTCACATTAAAGTTGAACCAATTTTTGTATCGTTATCTGTCTTAGTTTAAAAAACTTTACACATACTCCGACCTTGTTATTTACATGAAGGTTTAGACATATGTAAATATCCTTACCACACGCAGACAGTCATACATATCTCCACACGTTAACGTAATCTCTATCGGTAGCATGAAACTCGGTGTAAAGAACAGCTAAGAACTGCGAATTCATGAAGAACTACATACAAGGCCATTTCATCTCCATACATGTACATGTATAAATTGCAGGGGCGAAAAATATGGGGCCGATTTCTTTTGCTTGATTAGGATTGTAGAAGGATCCCACGATTGTAGAAAACTCCCCAGGGTCGGTACTTACCCAGATCGCTGATTCCCCGCACGGTGCTCAGGTCAAAGTCAGGCCCGGAGATTTTGGGCGCACATTTGGAGGTGGTGCGGAGGTAGAACCACAGCGGCGAGCCGATCAGTACCAGCGTGCATGCCGCCACGCCGAGAACGATCAGGTACGCGCTGCTGATGTCACCTGGGAGGATCAGGGAGCATGAACACACGTTAAGCCAGGCACTGCGTTTCCATATGGTACATCTTAGCACGTCAGCAGAACTACTGCGAGTGCGCGACACCCGTAGTCTATGGTGCATAGCACATTTCAGGTCGTATTTGCGTAATAGCCTTCTACAACAGGCAAAATTCAGATGCAATGATGACCAAACATCCAACGAAAACGGTGAAAACATCGAGTTTTGCGCATTCGCAGTACGTGATGTAGTTCTCCCGCCACTGTACTCCTACGCATGCGCACATACATATATATAGGCCCCTATTCTTAGTTTGAGAATCAAGAATAAATACACGTTGGTGAGTACACGCATGTTACCTTATTTATAGGAAATCTAATGGTCGGTCAGTTTAGCTGCTAATCGTAAAAATTCTGTAAATACCACATACAGAAACTATTGCTACACACACACACACACGCATATCTAAACATACAGCGCGCACACACAAAACAAACACGGACACGCACACATACACATACACATACACATACACAAACACACTCACACGGACGCACAAAGACACGCACACAGTTACATACACACGAGCGCGTACACACACCCTAGCATACATGTACACACACATACACATCCATATGCGCGCGTACACAAGCATTCGAGCACACATACGAACGCATGCGCGCACGCACGAACGAACGCGCGAACACACACACACACACACACACACACACACACACACAAACACACACACACACACATACACACACACACACACACACACACACACACACACACATATGT